CCCCGCACCCCCCACCCCCATAAAAAAAATTCTTCATATTATATACCTTTTTGTTCTTCAAATCAAAATCTCTTCTTGTTTTTCTCTCTCCCCTATTTTCTTGCATGGAATTCTCTCTTCCATTGGTTCAAAACTTGCATTTTGTTAAGGTAAGATGAAAAAAAATTGGAAATCATAAATTCAAGATGGAAATTCAAAAGATTTAAAGAAAAAATTCGATTTATTTTCCTCGAGAAAATGTTGAAGAACATGGTTAATATTCAAGAACATCAACTTTCCATTGTACATATCTTGTTTTAATTAGCTCTAATGGTGTTTTAATTTGAGATCATGAATTATATTATTGAATTCTTATCTTATTCTTGAGACTCTTCTTTTTTAATTAATTAAAAACTAGTATATGTAGATCATCCTTTTCATTTTGGAATTACAAATAATGGAATATTTAGCTTTTTCAAAGTGTATTGATTATGTTTTTCCAAGAGTGTTAAAATGATTCTTGAACTTTATTGTAGATAGAGCACTTCACATGCATATATATCATAATGGGATAATATATATTAGTGCTATACTAAAGTTCTCATTGCTTGTCTAAATTTGGAGTATCAAAATGCTATGAAAACTTCCATATTCTTTGCTTTTTTTCCTTTTCAATTCTTGTTTTTCATTTTTGGATCCCACATGTCACATGAAGCACAAATACATGTATTTTAGATAGACTTTTTAGAAGGGGGATGTATTAGGCATCTCTAGTGTTCTGTTATATCAGAAATAACATAACATTTATGCACTTTAGACAAATACTTGATTTTTTTAATTTTTTTTTATTTTCTTTTATTTTTTGCAGGAAGAGATGTCAAGCCCTCTTAGTGATCAAATTCTGAATTTTTGTGAATCTGAATTTTTCCCAAATGTACAAAATTCAGAAGTTGCTTCTAGCTCAAATTGTTGTAGCTATGAAGAACAAAGTTCATATTCAAACAATCTTGATATGAACAAGTTTAGTAACACTATAGGAAAAAAAGAAGAAAAAAATATTACAACAGTTACCTCTAATGTTATTAGCCCTTCAAGAATCAACGACGATAACAACAACAACAACAACAACAACATGAACAACAACGATCTCTCGATCATGTTTGATACTCAAGGAGATCAAATCGAGAATGATATATCCGCTTCTATACAATTCACACAAGATGGAAATTTCTCAATCCCACATCATTTACTTCATACTCAACATCAAGATTTATTCGATATCAATTCTCTCAATGATCAACATATGAAAATGACAGATCATGTTTCGGATGGATCCCTTCATCAACAGTATCATCAAGACCATCATCATCATCATCAACCCCCTATCGTTCCACTTATGGGGCCACCATTAGGACATTACTACGAAGACGATTCTTTGTCCTCTGTACCTTCTTACATGCGCGTTCCTACATCTTCATCATCTCCCCTTCTTGATCCTTCACTCGTGAGTTACTTACCTTTAAACACAAACACCAACATGCCTAATGCTGAATGTTCAGCTATACTTGCTGCTGCTGCTGCCCCGGGAGGTAGCTTGTTTTTCGGAACAGAGTTCCCACCAGTACAAGAAATGGATTTTCAAGGAGATAGTAGTAGACTATTCTGCCCTGATTCCTTGCCACGAGTCTATAACTGTACTTCTGACGAGCTTCAGGTAAATTTAATCTGACAAAAACTAGTTCAAACACAATTTATCGTATTGATTCATTTAAAATTTTCATTGATGAAGGCACTAAGCAATGAGAGTCAACATTTGGTTAGTACTAACCCTTTGGCATCAGAAATAACAAATTTGGAAGATACTACTTATAAAGCTGTTAAGTGCACGCCGGAGGAGAGGAGGGAGAAGATTCATAGATACATGAAGAAACGAAACGAAAGGAATTTCAGCAAGAAAATCAAGGTCCAACCCCTTAACTCAACGAATAAGATATGTTTATAAAGTTTTATGCATTGACAGTATATATATATGTGTCCGTGTTGTGTTAGTATGCATGCAGGAAAACTTTAGCAGATAGTAGACCAAGGGTAAGAGGAAGATTCGCGAAAAACGATGAATTTGGTGAAGCTAGTGCTAAGACAATGTCATGTGGTACAAATGAAGATATCACACATGATCATCAAGATGTAAAACTCAATTTTACATATCATCAAGATCCTAACATGATGAATACTTCATCTGGACATGACAATAATGGGCGGATTTTCACTTCGAATTGTCACTCATCTACGAGTCCTTACGATATTTGCCCTCCTCTGTATTGTACAGATGGACAGTTACACTAAACTCCGCGGATGAACAAGTACTCTTCAAGAACCTAATAACTATTCTTTCCTGGAGATACCTATATAACATTTCGCTAATAAGTTTTTTTTTTTTTTTTTTTTTTTTTTTTTTTTTTTTTGGTGTTTTGAAGTTCGATCTACACGAGAAGAAGAACTGGTGAAGTCATATAAGATACCTTTGGTGTAAATAATTTCAGTCGTCGTCGTCCACCAATCTTGGATTTCATCAGGCAGATTTTTACACTATGCTTAGTTTTTTCCAGTAGCAGAGCCAAAATGTCCCAATTATATTAAGGGAATAATTAACATTTCGACATATAAAGTTTAGTATAATAATTAACTCAATGAAACTTCTTCACAAGTGAGGACATGTAAATTTTGTAAATCTATACTATATAATTAACACAAATTGTCAATAATAATTATTCAATGGAACTTCACAGTGAAGAGGAGAACATGTAAATTTTTGTAAATGTGTATTGACAAAAGTTGATACTTTGTCAAATCTCTTGATTTTTTTTGAATTATAGGTTTGATGAGTTGCCAACTTGAAGAAACAAAGTTGTGTTTGTAGATGTTAATTATATATATATATATATACACTTCATTTTACAAACATATGTGTTCTTGACTACAACAACAAATGGGAAATGTAAAAAAATCTTACTAGAGCTAAATTGCGCGAACTTCTGTCAGAGTAGAGTAGAATCACGTGTGTACTTGATGTATAACCTCGACAATATCTTCCACCAGAGCCAGATGCTCTGGCTCTTCTGTTGGAGTAGAATCACGTATGTACTTGATATATAACCTCAACAATATCTTCTATCAGAACCCCAAATCGGCAACGAAATATCTTCCATCAAAACCCCAAATTTGCTGCACTTTAATGAAACATATGATATAGAAAAATCTTAATAGCTCGATAGACTAAATTTTTGAGACATGTAAATCGAAATTCAGGACATAAATTTTGTTAATTCATACCAACACACAAAAGCTTTGCAAAGATCAGATACTACAGATTCGATTCTGGTACAGACTTACGAAAGACCTGGTAAAAATACATGAACATTCGACTAGTAGCACTCTATCGAACACCAGTTACACGAACATTCGACTAGTAGCACTCTTAACGCCAATTCGGGTGATACTATTAGCAATTAACATGTGCAAAATACAAGTTCAATTCAAGGCTATTATTGCCTTATTTATTACAATGTTGCTTTATAATAGTCTTGCCAACTATTCTTCCTTCAACCATCCTTCATTTTCCATTTGTATCTTGGCACAATACTCGAACAAACTTCCATCGAAACAACGCCTTATAGCTTCTTTCGATAGAAAACCGTCTTGATCTCTAGCGAGAACATACAGAATTCCCCACTCCATTTTGCTCGCCACCCTGCAAATGTCAAAAGCCTTAGAGAAATTACTTAGGGGACGTTCGGGTTTGGATTGAGAGATGAATTAAATTAGGTACCAGCCAAATAAGTCGAACGCCTCCCTGTTGCCTTCGGTCATTTCCCAGAGTTCTCCAAGAGTAAGCTTATCAGGCAGAGTGCGAGCGTACTTGCTAAAAGTGTTCTCGAAATGCACGGGCATGAACCTATAAGAGAAGGTAAAATCGTCCATTTGACTTGATGAGGATGTCGAAAATAATATCGACTTGAAAGGGAATAATAAGGGAATTAGTATTATACTAACCTTCCCTCTCTGTCATAGGTGTGAGTATCACTTCCATGTTTGCACTTATGTATATTGTAAATATATATTGGGAGGAAAGGAGAAGGTATCCACCCCTGTATCACATCGAATATCAACGAAGGAAGAACATATACACAAAACAAATTACATCTGTATACGTGGGATCGAGGGAGGGTAGGACGTACACACACCTTACATCTACCTAGGTAGAGAGATTGTTTCGGATAGAAACTCAGCTCATTAACCTATTAACCAAATATACTAATCCATTTTGAGGAAGAAAAAGGACCAAAATCCTACTTCGACGGATCTTTAAGTCGATATATTAGCAATGTTCTTCTGATTTAATGATCATTTACTATTAACATTTCTAAGAACAGATCAACTTACTTGCAAATTACTGAAGTACGATAACTCGAAGCTTACCGGCAAAGAAGGATAACTCAAACCAACATTGATAACGATGGCAATTATGAGAGATGCTATCATATTGAAGCCAATTTGACGTAGCCCTGTTTAAAGTGAGGGGAAAAAGGATCGCACGAAGTTTTTAGTTCAAATATACAAGAACTATATACATCATGTTGGATATTTGATCGCATCTAGTACTTCCGAATTGCACATAATAAAATGTCAAGTCTAAATGCTACCGATGACACATTTTCCCTCCGAAAATGGTCAATAAATCATATCCTTACCTAATTAAAACAGTTCAAAATTTAAATTTAATGGATTCAACTTTTAAGATTTTTAGTATTGAACTCGTTGTAATGTTAAATTATGGGTTCACAATCTTATATTTGTTAAGATTTGAATAGTTTTTAAATATATATATATATTAGTCTGTGTCGAAAGTTATGTCGATAGTAATAACACAACATTAGAATGTAACGCTACATTTTTTTATTTTTTTTCCCAATTTTAATCTCATTATTTACCTATCTACATTAATATAGAACTGCCTATAGTACGAGTAGCGGAAATGGAATGATTACCGGAATAAGTTTCCCAAGGGTAGATAATGCCATTCTCATCCTGATCGAAGAACGCAACGTGCTGTTGAAGAACGCTCATGCCATGGTGCCTATGTCCAGGAGTTCCATGGGGGTGCTCCATATCAGGAGCCACCAATCCCCTTGCCAAATCTGAATATACATAACACGTATATTTAAACATCATATTGCAACAATACTCGTGCAAAACTAGCAAAAAATTGAAGGAAAAAAAATCGACTAAAATGTAACATGTCCCTGTTAAGGATCAGCATTTTTTAAATAAGATGAGAGATACATAAAACGATCCAAGCGAACCTCTATTAATTGATCCCTTCAATTAATAGTTATGCTAATCAGAAGCTCCATTCTGATGAGGCTAAATTTTGGCATATAAGTACAATGGCTCGGGTCCGGACTATTCTTTTTGGTTTCCCAAAAACTGGTGTCTGGTATGGACACCGGCATTATGTTGCCGGTCCCAACTAAATCCGGATTTGCACCACTAGAAACAAAAAAAATTCTATCGCGAATCAGGGAAAAATTTGTGCTATAGATCGTGATTTTCCAACTCATTTCCCATCAAACCAACTCACTTGAAAAATGCATGTTGGAATACAAATTCTAGAAAAAAAATCCACCACGAATCAATAGAAATTTGTCCTATAGATCGTGATTTTCCAACTCATTTCTCACCAAACCAACTCACTCAACTTACTCGAAAAATGCATGGTGAAAAACAGATTCTCACACCGGATTTGAATGTAAACTAAAATAAGCTACTATTTTCGGTTCCCTTTGTTTAGTAGTACAAAAGCGATTCTACTAAGATGTTTAATATATTAATAATAAATATCAAGTGTTATAGCTGTATAGCTATATAACAAAATGACGCCTTGACTTTGACTTCCCCACCGTCTAGAAATCAGTGGAAAATTTGTGCTATAGATTGTAATTTTCCAACTCATTTCCCACCAAACCAGCTCACTCAAAAAAATACATGGTGAAAAATAGATTCTCACAAAAATAATGAGGAACTTCTTAGTTTTCCATATAAAAACCTTTACTATTTTTTATTTTTTCCACGGATTCAATCAAAATATCTCTGAGAACAATTCTCAACCCCTGAATATTCTTCAGTGAAAAAATAGCTATTTTTAGTAGTGTTGGGAATGACAGGCATCAGGATTTTTTCCATTACTAGAAACTCAAATCCAAACTCGAGATCTCTGATTAAAAGAAAGCATGTAGAAATCCAACACATGATCACAATCATCATGCTCTTTCAATTCATCTATTTACATCAATTTCTTTAATCTACTTAAAAAGATATAACTTTCTATATCTAGTGGAGTAAATTTTTAATTGCAAATCCTATATGGCATGGAAATTATCTTACATAAAAAAATCTAACAAAACATTGAAAATTCAGGAAACCAACCAACTGAACTAAAATTTTCGAAAAATAAACTTACAAGGCTTTGGAATAGAAGTTTCCAAATCAGTCCTAACTTTCCGTTCAACCGTCACCGGAGCCAGCGGCGCCTCCGGCGACAATGCCACATTCCGATCAACCCCAGCAACCGCCATTTTCTCTCTACAAATTCACAAATTCCCCCCCTCTTTATACTTAAAAATACTCTAGAGAAAATACCAAATGTGTGACAAAAATAAACTTTAGACTAAAAAATGTGAAGAGAAGTAAAAAAGAGATGTAGCTCAAGATGTTCGAGTCACAATGCATGTGTTAGAGCATTTTTTGAAATATTATAGTACTAGTGGTATTTACATGCATGAATATTTTACACCTAGCAAGTGACATTTATTTCATAATTTTTGACACGTAGTTTTATACGTGTCATTGCTTTGCTGACTTTTTTTTTGAATAATTTTTTTTCTTCTCAAGAAGTTGTAACGTTTGCTTAGCTCCATGATGTAAGAATATTTGGATTTATTTGCTGCCTTAGAGCTGGTAAGAGATCAGGGTTTGTCCAAATTTTGTTGAGAAAAAAAATATTTATATGATTATTTTTATTAATAAAATTATATATATATGCTGAAAGTCATGACTCTCGGAAGTACTTTCAAATTCTGAATTCGCCTCTGCTCAAATTCGATAATTAGTCACATGCTCTTATACTAATTAAGATGAAATGCTGAAAAACCAGTAGGATACTAAGGTTACTTTTGGTATGTTAAACATATTTAGTTTGTGTTTGAAAGTTATTGATTATTTGTTAAATTTTTGTACACATTCAAACACTAATATCATACCAAAAAAAACCAGAGAGAAAACTAATATTGTTTCAAATATAGTTATTTGTTCATTTCTTAAATTTTGTACACATTCAAACACTAATCATACAAAAAAAAAGAAGCAGAAGGAGTAAACTAATGACAATTATATTATTACTACTCTAATAGAAGTGGCAACAAGAAAGTTTTAAAGAAAAATCATAATTTACAAAAAGAGATTTTAACCAATATTGTACACTCATTTTTGTTACTATCAAACATGATACAAGACTCAATACCTCAATAGTCTAACAAACATCTATACACAAAAGGTAGAGTCTCTTGTCTGTACACAGTGGCAATGCCAGAATTTTCACTAAGACTGTACAACCTTGCAAATATGAGAAGCAAGGCCTTCAACTTTCCCTCGAATTTTGAATTAAGGATAGCTTGAAATACATGCATGACCTGAATAAAGAAATAGGATAGTAGGTTAGTAGGTAGCAGTGTGTTCTCTAGTTGTCCGTTCATATTAATAATAATCATACTATTCATATTAGTAGTCATACTATTTCCCGTGTTGTTTCTTGTCCTTAGATTTATGTTATCGTAATATTGTTGTTTTGTAGTTTTGTTATTATCTGTTGATTCTTATACTTCTGTTACTTCTTTTTCTGGTTTGCTTTGGACTGTTTTTCCCTGAGTCGAGCTTCTATTGGAAACATACTCCCTACCTCTAAGGTAGGAGTAAGGTCTCCGTACACTCTACCCTCCAAAAACCAGACATTGTGCGGGACTACACTAGGTATGTCGTTGTTGTTGTTGTGAGTCCAAATAGTTTTCTATCTGATCATGTTGCTTTTAACAGAAATCCAGATTTCAGTTACAACTAATGTAAGCAGTCTTGTTGTTTTCGCGGTAGTATACACCAGTTCCATGAAGCATGTGTTAGTTGAAATGACTTCGAATGTGTTAGGCATGATACTATCTTAAGATTCAGATGTGGTTATTCTAGGAGCAGTATGTCTGTTTAGCGACGTATTAGCAAAAAATGTGTAGCTAATTCGTGTTCTTTTCATAATGACAGCACAGCTAACTAACCAAGCATGTTTTGCACAGAAGATTGTATACGGTATGGATGGGTAACCACGATGTTTTTAGGATGAAGGTAAATGAAGTTTTAGTGCTTTGTTATGAATAAATTGACAAGTTTATGAGTGTCTTGTTTACTAACCTTATTGATAATATCTTCCCCGTAGATCCTTATAACATCTTCCATTCCTTTGGTACTGTTGATGGATAAATGGTCTGCAATAATCCACCAAACATTGGTCCTGAACATGGAAAATAAGTGATGTATATATCAATTATCGAGATACAGGCACGTAGTCTCAACAATAAAGGTATAATTCATTTCTTAGAGTACGCGGTTTAAGTCTTATAATGAAATGGACTGATATGCAAAGTACCTGATATTCGCATTTTGAATTTGATCTTTGAAATCTTCTGTGTGTCGAAATTTTTCCTGAACTGAACTTTGTAAAATTCTTCCCTTTGAACCTCTTGCAGCCTGTTTTGGAAGTTTTCTGGCATGTTTATAATCATTACCTCCTGTATTTTAGTTAGATATATCAATCCTTCAGGAACCATCTCCAACTTCTTGCATTCGTCGATTTCTAGATGAACTAGATTTGGCAGTGCCCCTTTCTCCACCCTCCAGCTTTCTAAATTTAGTAGCCCCTGGAGTTTAAGAGTTTTGAGTAGTGGAAATCCTTGTGGAGAACAACACATTTCCTTTCCAATAAACGCGTTTCCACGTAATGACAAGCTGAATAGCTTAGGCAGCTTTTGAAGAATAACCATAGGGTCTTCTTCAAGTCCACTCTTTCTCAAGGTTAACTTAGTGAGGCTTTGTGAAAATGAGTGGTGTTCTGGTAGCTGAGTGATGTGTCCGATTAAATCTAGCTTCCGGAGATGGTGACAACCTAACAGTAGCTTCAGAATGTTTACCTCTTTTTCTGAATGAAATCTGTAGTAAATACGAAAAGATGTTTCCCTGAGTCTACCTGATCTGAGGTTGAGGTGTTTGATCATCTCTTCCATCTCGTACGACTCCAATGAGAGAACAGCTGATAGTTTCTGAAGTTTTGTTAACTTGAAAAGATCTTGAAAAGGAGAAACTTGTGTATCGAAGTTCTTCAGTATTTCCAAGTGGCTTAATGGACTCAGGTCTAACTTATACGTGTGTTGATGTGAAGGAGGAAGATATAAATTCCTCAAGTTTCGCAACTTCTGTATGGTATTCGGTAAAGTTAAGTACGAGAAGAAATTCACCCTCAAATCAAGTGTCTGTAGGTACTTGAGATTACCTACAGACGACGAAAGTTTTTGAAAGTGTGAATGTCTTAAGCTCAGGTATCTCAAGTATACCAAATTACCAATTGCTTTTGGTAAAATTTCCACAAAAGTGAACTTCTCAAGATGCAAAACTCTCAACATTGAGAAGTTATTGCACAGACCTTGGAATAAAGGCAGGGGATATTCTGTGCCTTCGCGTCCTGTCTGTATGGGAAAGAATAAAGCTGATCTAACATGCTGAAATGACTTATCATCAGTAGAGAAATAGTTCTGAACTTCATTGTCTACTGTGATAGACACTCTACGTACAGTACGTGTTGATGTTGCTGTAGCTGAAGTAGAGCAGTGCATCGATTGATGCAAATGCTGAGGAGAAACTGTCTTGAGAAAGTTTTCCTCCTTTGCTTTCGACAAACATGTATCTCTCATGAGATCATGAAATCGACAAGATTTGATCCTTCCAGTTGTTTCCTCTAGTTGAACCTGAACCATGTACCTTTGAGCTAACTCGTGCAGATAACGTTCCCCTCTCTCCATCATTGCTGTCTCCTCTCCTCGGTTACCTTCCAATGATATGATACCTTCAGCAGCCCATAGCTGATACAATCTCCGCGCAGAAATCTTTTGATCCTCAGGAAAGTTTCCCAAGTACAAAAAACACGGCTTCAGCTGATAAGGTAAGTCATAATAGCTCAACGCGAGGACACCATGAATTCCTCCATCTTGTTCAAAACTTTCACCACTCATGTGTAAGTTAAGGTTTTGGCATGTCCTTCTCCACTCATCGATTTTAGGTCTTCTAGCCAAGAGTCCAGCAAGCACAATAATGGCTAAAGGCAAGCCTCCACATTTACTGACCATTTCCTTTCCAGGCCTCTCCAACTCCAAATCAATTAAATCTACACAAAAACAAGAGAGAATTTTCATTTCACGATGAATAGCAGTTATGTTATAAACATATATCTTCAATAAGAAATACCTCCAAGTTTTGTGCTTTTAGAAAATTGAAGGCATGCACACAAACATACACTCAAACTTGACGTCAGCTAGAAAGTATGCCCTCCCAACTTTCAGTATGCACATCTAGACACCTCAACTCGTCTCCACTATGTCACTTTAACACTCCAAGTTACAAAATGACTATCTAGACACTTCTAAAATTTATGTGTCACGGCAACATCTGGTGTCCATGAGACACAAACACTTAAACTTGAGGTCAACTGACAAGTAAGTACTCCAACTTTCAATATACACATCTAGACACCTCAACTCGTCACCACTATGTCAGTTGAACACTCCAAGTTACAAAATGATCATCTAGACTACCTCCAAAATTTACATCCCACCTCAACATCGGGTGACCACAAGACACAATTGGGACGAGTTGGAGTGTTCAGTTGCCCATTGACACCAAATTGAAGTATCTAGATGTGCACTCTCAAAGTTGGAGTGCTCACTTTCCAGGTGAGTCCAAGTTTCAGTGTCTGTTTATGTATTATGCCAATTATAGACGATTAGTTTCTAATCTTATTTCCTTTTCTGATGCCAACTATAGACGATTTTACACCTATTTGACCAAATTATTGAAATCAGAGTTCATTGAATTCAAGAAAATTACCTGGAGTGTTTACTCCGGGGAATGCTTTCTTATGGAGTAACTTCCAACTCTCCTCAGCATCCAAACATCTTGGTTCAAACAAGAAACAAGTTGGATCTATGTGTGTACACACGTCCTTCTTGCGCGTTGTGAGCAAAATCTTGCTTCGACTCCCTTTCCCCTTCGGAAAAGCATGTTTTACACTATTCCAGAAATCTGTAGACCAAATATCATCCAACACAATAAGGCATTTCTTCCTCTGCTGAACATTGTAAAGTGCCTTAACAAGCTCATCATCCATCATCATATTAATCCTTGTTCTGTTTTCAGGTTCAAGTTTCATGAGGATGCTCAGCAGCACATCTCTTGCTTGCCATTGTCTCGAGATACTAGCCCACGCGAAAGCCTGGAAATGACTTTGTACATCACCATGACGATAAGCCTTCCGAGC